GCTCATCCGGGGTTTCCTTCTTCCGGGAACACTGGGAGCAGCTACTCCTGGAGAGGGACGTCTGAGACCAGGCTCAGCCTCGGTCTGCAAGAGAGAAGATCCCCAGGGGTACGGACAGTGCAGTTCAGGAGGGCCTGGTCACAAACTATTTTAAAAAGATAACAAAATGCAGGAAGCCTAGATGGAATATGCAGCAGAACACTAAAGTATTATGCTGAAGCACTGAGTGAAGGGATCATGCACTTGTTCCAGCTCTCTATAGACACTGCTATTGTCCAGGCTGTTTGGAAACACTCTGCAGTTGAACTTGTCCCTAAGAAGAGCAGACATAAAGCCCCCAGTGACCTCAGGCCTACAGCTCTGGCTCCGTTAGTGATGAAGACTCTTGAAAAAATATTCAAGTCACATGCTGTGGCCGCAGTAGAGTCAGATCTCGACCCCTCCAGTTTGCCTCCCATCCTGGAAGGGGAGGTGATGATGATGATGATGCTAAAAAAAAAAATCTGCTAGATGTTCTTCATAAACATGCAGAGTGGAAAGATTCTTGAGCCAGTCTTTGCCGATTTCTCGTCAGCCTTTACAGCCACACATGTTGGTTGAAAAACTAATCACACGTTTCAAATTAGATCATGGGCTTGTCATGTGGATCATTAGTTTTCTGTGCAGTAGAACACAAATTGTATCTATTAATGGGGGTGGCATCTGTAAAGAGGTTTTAGCACTATGATGTCTATTGGACAGAGCCCCCCCCCACCCTGGACAGAGAAGTGGTGGGTGCTGCTGCCTCAAAGCTCCCAGGTGACATTCTCACGTTGGGGTGCCTGTCTGTGTGGAGTTTGCATGTTCTCCTGGGTATTTGTCCAGGTGCTGTGGTTTTCTTCCCATTCCCAAAGATGAGCAGGTTTTGCATGACTGGCCTCTTTAAATTGGCCCTCACAAGCGGTTTCAATGCATGGCCCCCGGGGGCTCATTAATGAAGTGAAATGGTAAAGAATACCAAAATACCGTCAAAACTAAGGTGACACAGACTACAGATGCACTGTTGCCACCTCAAGCCTACCCGAAGAGAGAAAGATTCAGATTTATCTTGTATTGGTATTCTGTATTGGTAAGATTCTGGGCTTTTCTGCAGAGGGCTCAGGTGCAATCACCAGATGGGACACTGTTGTTAGGAGCATTAGGACAGGTGGAAGGAAGGGGGTGTTCGTAAGAACATTAAAAAAGCTGCAAAAGCCAGAGTAGGCCACTTGGCCCTCCCATCCATCTGTTTCCTGGAAAAGAAAAAAACAGTTTGGCTTCAAGAGCATGGGCGGGCAGCTTGTTCCACACTCCCACCACCCTGTGTGTAATGTGGTGCCTCCTGTCCTGACTGGCGGATCTCACACTGTTGTTTTGGGGGGAAAGGCCAGAGTTTTGGCTTCCACAACTTGGTTGGGCGGCTTATTCCATGCAGACCACAAGTTACTTCCTTAAATACTGCTGCAGCAAATGACCCGCTGTATAAAATGGGTTCTCCACACAGGCCCTGGCGATTTGTTTTTATTGAGATTAAATAAATTTAAATAAACATGCCTTCATTTGCAAAACCAAAATCTTGTTAATTCCCTTCTTTCTATGGGGTTTCTTTCCAGATAGTGCCGCACAGATTTTTGAAATGACACCATTTTTAGATAAAAGTGCCAGGAAGTGATCACGGTGTTAAGCTCCCAGCGGGAATTCCCTTTCGGCGATATCTGTTGTACCTGGACGGGATCAAGGAAACTGGCGTCATTACGGCTCTACGGAGCAGTACGTGTTCACGTTCCCCGCTGAGAAATCTTGAGCCAACATGGCGGACACGCGGTGTCCGTCGCACAGACCCTAAGCGACCTCGCTTCGATTGGACCGTGTTAATGTCAATCCACCGGGGGGGCCTGCCTCGTGTTTTTTTTTCCCCGCCTACTGTCAGCTGACAAAGACTGTACATGGAAAATTGAGTCACAGGAACTGTAACTGTAACAGTGTACTTTAAAGTCGGTTCTTCCCGTTTTCAAAAAAACAAAACACCGAGCGCACTAATCGCGTTGCTGCGTTTAACGTTTTACTCCCTGGAGTGAAACCTCATCCATTTTCTTTGCGTATCTTTCATCATTTGTTTGATCACATTTCTTTACCGTATGTTGGACAAGAGGGAACCGGTGAGTTGCCAGGCGATGTACTGTAAAACCCCGTACCGTGCGGTACCGCCCGACACGTTGCATGTAGTCCAGCCTGGGCCTCAACACTTTCGCGTTGTGTTTCGGGCAGGAGACGAGCTCGCAAAATAGTAACTCCAGCCGAGGCCGCTTCTGTTCACCGAGTGGAAGTTATATTCGAGTTACACTGTACTTTAATCCCGTGTGCGAAATAACTTTCCGGCTCAACACACCCGATCGCCAAAAACGACTTGAAAACGGAGAACCTGAAAAGGTTTCATGCTGTTCTTGCCCCGGACTACGTACGTATACAAATATAAACTCGGGTCTCGTCTGCTCTGGTGGGGGGACAAACCCGTTTAAAACGCCGAAAACCAAACCGACAGCTGTGTAATTGCGAGTTGTTGTTTTTTTTTTAAAATCAGTGCTCGATACCGTTAGTGACAAAATGAAAACGAAGAAAGAAAACGGATGAGGGGACCCCCTCCCCCCCAAGGTGGGGCGTTAATTTTAACACGTTCTGGGGGGAAAGGGGTTCTTCATGTCTGGGGTCCCCCCCCCAAAAAAAAACCCCTGTATTACCATGGCGCACAACCCTGGCCGAAATCATGATGTATTTATACAGAACCATCTCTCCCTCAATTCCTTTCTGCGGCGCTGCTGTGTGGGCATGTGTGGCGGGGGAGGGGAGGTTCAAGACATAAAAACAGACAAATCGCATTACCCCCCCATACTTCAAAAAGTCTAACGGGAAAATCCGCCTCTTTCTCCTTGCCTTCCGAGAAGTCACTTTCGGTAATGTACTGGGATGCTATTCCGCGATTCCTGTCAGTGACTCAAAGCCAACAATAGAATTGGACATTTTCCCGGTAAACAAGACAGCCAACTCGTTTAAAGTTGAACTGTTTCCCGTACCCACTACTTGACGCCCAGAACAGGAGGCATTTTTTCCCGACGTTAAAACAGCTTGAAGAAACGACATTCATTTCTGTAATGAGAAAACAGCAGGATTGTTTTTGCATGTGTATGTCGCATGTGGCCGTGTTTTTTTGTTCGCGAGTCTTGAAACAAGTTGCAACGACCCGACGTGGAAAATAACTCGCCCTTGTCGATCACGCCCCCTCCTCCAACCCTCAGGATTTCGTGTCAGGTAAATCTGGAAAACGAAATGTTGCCGAAAATGCACGAAGCTGCGCGGTTCGTACCGGGAGCCTACTCAATCCTTCTGCTTGCGTGTGGACTGCGATAGCGATATTTTCCCCAAAACTACTTTCAAGAAACTCCAGGGCGACACTTCGTGGGCAGTAGCGATGTAATTAGGGTGAACAAACGTAACGCCTGTTAATTAACCCTAATTCCGGTCTGCGTATTGCTGAATGAGACTGAATACTAGGACTGGATAACGCAATGTGATCCTATATCCGCTTCAGACACAGTTCTGGATCTCTGTCGATACCGTTCATGTCGTCTAAGAGCCGTGAAGTTGGGGAAATTGACCGAAACAGTTTTCTTGTTCTTCCAAGGACCGCGACTGCGTTTAACGGCCATGGAGGAGTCGGAGTGAAGCCGCCCGGAGAGCGAACAGAGACGGCGAGGATGAGCTGGGGAGCGGGCGGGCCCGGGGTGCAGACCCCGGGCTGGGAGCAGGCGGCGCCCCCCGCCCCCGGCTCGGTCTCCGGGCTGGACTTCAAGCTGGGCTCCCTGTTCCTGCTGCTGGCCGCGACGCTGCTGTGCGGCTTCGCCCCGCTGTGTCTCGTCAGAGGCTCGGGGAGATGCAGCACGGACCCGGGTGAGTTTCGGGGGAAATGAAGTCTCCCCCCAAAAAATGTCCAGGTCTGTGTGGCACCGACACACAGTCAAAGACCGTAGATAAGCAAAAAAAAAATCCGAAACCTAAATCCTGTTTTATCTTCAAAGCCGGTTGTCTGATGCATGTATGCTGTGCTCAGCGCCTTACACCAAACGCAGCATAAAGAGCTGTGTAGTTCTTGACCATGAAAAATAATAATCACGTTATAGAAAAGAAATACGCGTTTAGTAAAAAAAAAACAACAGCAGCACGATGAACCGGCACAAAAATAAAACGTACTCCACGCAAAAGATAATCAAATATTAATTTGATTTTTTTAAAAACACGGAACAGGAAAGGTTTTAGAAAAAGCCACTCACTGCCAGGGTTTTTCAGCAGGCTGTGCCGACAGGCTGTCGGGGATGTGGGGAGTCCTGGTCAATTTCACTTTCCTGCTCAGGTGTATCCAGGTCTTTCCCAGAATGTCAATCCTTGAAGAGCCTAAGACCCTAAACCTTTCCCTACGGATCTGAACAGTAGTAGTTTCTGTGCAAGCAGTGTGCTTATGTGTGAGATGGACTTTAATTGACATGCTGCACTGGGGGGAAAAGGGACTTGTTTACATGGAGTGCTGACGAGGAAATGAACTGGATCTGTATTGATAGGATTTGTAGCCCTTTTTAATGATCAAGGACTCGAAGGATCAGGTCCTGTGTACCAACGTGACTGCCTGCCCTTGTTCTGATGGGGGCGCTGTGCTGTCTGGGGCTCTTGTTCTGATGTGGACGCTGTGCTGTCTGTGGCCCTAGATCTGCGGCGCAAAGTCCTGAGTTTGGTGAGCTGCTTTGCCGGAGGTGTGTTCCTGGCCACCTGTCTGCTGGACCTGGTGCCTGATTACCTGTCTGCGATCAACGAGGCCTTCGAAAGCATGCAAATCACGGTAAGGACTGGCCAGTGCATCATGCCTTGACGCACAACCTCTGTTCTCTTCCTCCAGATTCGGTTTCCTCGGCCAGTGGGGGTCTTCCTCATTCCACATTCTGGAGGTGCATTGTGTTTGCCGGGAGCACTGCTACCTCCATTCCTTCTCTGACCACTTCCTCCAGTTCAGGGTTGCAGGGGAGCTGGAGCCTATCCCAGCAAGCAACAGGCGCAAAGTGGGATAAACCCTGGACAGGCCAGTCTATTGCAAGGCTCACATAGACACACACACTCACACCAGGGCCTAGTTTCCCAGAAGCCTATTTAGCCCACCAGCATGTTTGCTCCCAAGCTCCTGTAGGAAACCCTCACAGACACGGGAGAACATACCAACTCCACACAGACAGCACCCTCAGGAATTACACCCGGGGCCCCCGTGCTGTGAGGCTGCAATGCTCACCACTACGCCACCATGCCACCCAGAGTTGCTACAAAGGGTCTTTGTTCAAGCCTGGCTGTTGTGCTCATTTGAGTATGTATTAGTTGCCAGTAGAGCCGGTGTGAGTCGCGAATGTCCACCCAGGAAGAGAGTTGAGCACTGAAGGGGCAGCCAGGAAAGGCACTCACTCGGAGCTCTGTGGCCCGAGCGCCAAGCGTACCAGTATGGGTCAAGGTGCCAGGAATTCTCCAAGCTGCTGGCCCATGACCGGCGGAGCGGGGCAGGACAAGGGATGGGATGAGTCCTCTTCCTGGCAGACAACAGCTTTGGCACCTTGCTGGGCGCCTGTGATTTGGTGACATCAGCGAGTGACGATCTGCTCCTCCAATCGGAGCCGACGCTCCTGTCGGGCGCCGTGGTGCCCTCGGCCTGTCAGGAGACCACTGGCTCCGCAGGTGGATACGTTACAGGAGCACGTCTACCTGTCTTATTCCTCCTACGGCAGGGGTCACTGTCAGAGAGTCGAGTCTTAAACTGAGTGTATTTCAGGTTTGTAAGGTGATTGACCATTGCGTTTTTTTTAAAGCATCTGAAGTAGTTTTTCCATCTGAAGCAAATGGACTGTTCCTTCCTACCTGTCATGTTGCAATCCTTGTAAGATCTTTTTTGAAATCTGTTCTGGTGGAGTGAAAGCAATGCCCCCAGATGGCCCTGCACTCACTCTTCCCCTCTTTGTCTGCCCCAGCTGCAGTTCCCGCTCCCCGAGTTCATCTTGGCCATGGGCTTCTTCCTGGTGCTGGTCATGGAGCAGATTGTGCTGGCCTACAAGGACCAATCCGGGGGTTCGCTGGAGGAGAGGCGCGCCCTGCTCGTGGATCCCAGCATCCAATCGCATGGCAGGGAGGCGCATGGCCCCTCCC